TCCTCTGCGGGTTCATACTATAAGGGCGACTATACAGGCTCGAACGTGCCCTTTTGTGTGGTTCAGAAAGCACCCAAGTTAATGTAGGGGCCTTGATAATTAGACTCGGGTTTTTGGGGGTTTGCTTATTATAAGCATTGTACAATATACCCCGAACCCTATTCTAATTATTACGGCCCTAGATTGGAGCGTTTGTATAGCGGGGGCTTGGATTGGGGAACTTTAGGGTCCAGGGCTTGCGGCTTGTACAGTGGGTTTAGGGTTTAAAGGTTTTTGTTTTAGGGTTTAGGGATTAGGATTTAGGGTTTAGGGTTTAGGATTTAGGGTTTAGGATTTAGGGTTTAGGGCTTAGGGTTTTTTAAGGGTTTAGGGTTTAGGGTTTCGACTCTCACACAGGGTTTAGGGTTTAGGGTCCAGGGCTTGGATCAAGGGGCTGAGACCCGGCTTTACACACGAAACCCTTGGAGTGTCATACCTGGGGTGGGGGATTTGCAAGTACTGCAGTAGAATCACCTCACCGAAGTCAACCAAAGGCTTCACCCTAGAGAGTATACAAGATGTTTAGCAAAAACCTGATGCTATTAAGTCGGAGTCTGGGGGTTCGCGTGGTACAACACGGCTTGGTTTCTTCACCCTGCCAGTGTGAGAGAGGGATGGAAAAACAGGGCTACGCAGCGACCCAGTTCGAGCCTGAAGCATGAACCGCTGCTACAACTCTAAATCTCAAAAATCATACTGAATTTTGCTGATCCCCCTATCCGGGAATGTCCGAATACCCCAAAACGTCATCCTAATTTCTACGAGTGCCGCACCAGTCACCAGCTGAAGCTTCGGATCTCCAAATCCCGAAGCTCGGCCCCCGGCTGCTTCAGCTGCGACTCGTAAGCACAGGCCTCTCAGTGTAATATAGGCGCCATACTAACAGCACCTATACTTCAATAAAAATTAGAACGGCGTAACATTGCCATAATGGCACACTTTCATATTCTGGAAAAATAGTAACAGTAGTAATAAGAATAATAACAATAATTTAGTAATGATAATTATTTATTATTACTATTGTTATTAGTACTATAGTCGATAATAATAACAATAAGAACCCCTAAAGGGTTTCGCGCTGGGCTTAGGCTTAGGGCTTATGCGACATCTTAGGGCTCCAGGCTTTCATGGAGGAGGATCTGGAGCTAAAGATTCGTCGGGTTTCGATGGCTCTGGCCACATAGGGTTCGCAGACTATCTCTGGCTGACGCCAAAAATGTCCAGCGATGTCGTTGGCTCTTTTTGGTGGCTCGGGCTTGGGGGACTTGACCGTTCGTCCTTTGGGGTTTCTATGTAAAGTAAAAACGGGGGGCCCCTTTTCGGACCTCTGTACAACAGGGAGTCCTCGGCGCATCATCCATACTTGCGGATCTCCTACAGACCGAGAAGAAGTAAGTATCCAGATATCAAGACTAATGCACCTCTCTCTGTTCCTCATGATCAGCGTTCGTCACCAACCCAAGCCCAAGTCCCGAAACCGACAACCCCACACCCTGAAGCCTAAACCCCAAACCCCTAAACCCTGACTAAACCCTAAACCCTTAACTCTACCCGAAAACCCTAAACCCCAACAGCCCTAAACTTTAAACCCCACGAGCCCTTTTTTGAACCCAGACTCTGCCAGTCATCTGGACCCCACGAGCCCTAAACCCTAAACCCTAAACCCTAAACCCCAAACCCTAAACCCTAAACCGGCCTTCTGCTGCTCGGGAAGTGTGTATCCTGCTGGGCTGGCCGCCGGCGCTGTCTCGGCATTCTCCTTCGGGGGAGCAAGGCTGAAGGCTTACAAGTGAGGGGCTTCAGGCGCCGAGTTCAAGGTGTGGGGCTTGGGTTTAGGGTTTA